CCCAGGTATACCACGCCGCATTGCTGAGCAACGGCACTCTCGATGAAATACTCGCAGCTTTTGAAGTCGACAAGGATAATCCAGCAATGGGTTATGATGGCGTTGTGATTCGCCGAGATCGAAACGCATGTCTCGCTCCGAGATCTCATCATGCCCTGGTTCACTGCCAGGGGCAACCATACCGCACTCTGAGCCTCCAGTCTGCTCCTGAGGAAGTGCATCCTGCTGAGAGGGCGCATGCGCCTTTTCGCAGTCGTGATGTCAACCCATGCCCGCAGGGGTTTCAACTGCCCAAGACACCGGAACCGCGCCCCAACGTGTGTCGAAAGCAGGCCCAGAGCGAGCTTCAAAGAGACAACCAACTACCTAAGGACAGTCCAGAGTCACACGTATCTGCTTGCACACGCGACTTTCCTGAAGTGCGCCAGGCTGACGAAGATGTGGACTTTGCTGCTTTGGACCGTTGCCCAACATTTGTTCGTCGGCATGCTCAAGTCCAAAGTCGCTTCCCGAGGCGATTGGTGACTGGGGACAAACAAGCTCTTGCCATGCTGAAGGACAGAGGCGCAGTGTCGACTCCCGAGCTCGTTGTATCTCCGCCGACACCGACAAAACGCGGCCGGTTGCAACGCAGAGTACGGCCGAGGAAAAACGTGGTGAAAGCCTCGAACGACCCAGTTGAAAGGAGGCAACCGGCTTCGAGATGATGTCGCTGCGTCTAACGTGGAACCTGGTGGAACAGCTTCGTAGGCGGGCGTCGATAAACAAACACGATTGATTGTACGATGAGGGATTGAGAGGTCGCTAGGTACCAGATACATCCAGAAAAAAAAAACCCTCCCAAAATGATTAAACGAAGGCATCCTGTCTACTTGTAGGATGGTGTTATAAAGATCGGTTCGCTGTCCTTGTCACGTACGTTCTGATCGACGGCCGATCCCATGCCCTCTCAATGCGAGCAAAAGCAGAGTCCCAAGCAAGCGAGGCTCAAGGCTTTCCGGCATCCTTACATAGCTCAGGCTTCGTGAGGATGTATGGCTACCAGAGGGTTGGAGGAGCGACACCGGTGACACCATTTACGTACCTGAATTCCTTGAGTGCGAAAAAATTTGGGCTTCGCGAAGTACTAGGTGAGCCTCATTGAACACCTCGTGAGCGGGACGCCCATCGCTGAGTTGAGGGGAATGTTGTCTGGCTCCTCCAAGTCTGCTTGACCTGCCTCGCATTAGCTGGATGGTCGTTTCTGATATCTCTCCCTTGGTCCCCCTTCGATGTCGAATACTTTGTCAAGATGTTCTTGTCCGCTGGACTAAAGGCCAAGGACCTGGCTGGTGTGTATGGCTGAGTCCACAGAATACCATCAGACATTCCATCCAGGGCATTGAATGTGATTAATTCCCGCATTTCGCCTCAACACGAGTCGTCCCGGTTCTTGTCGCCTGGAAATGCAGATTTGTTTTCCCTTTCTCTGTTAGTCCGCAACGTTGATGTCGATGTTGATGGCGGGAGTCTCCCGCTCTCTCGACTAGATAAGGATGTATTCTTTGTGGTTGGTGCGGGTGAGAATGACATCTCGATCCACGCCGTGAAGGTAGCATTCCCCAATGACTTTCCAGTATTCGGTACGTGTTCGCTTCGCAAAGTGCCGTCTTCCCTGTCTTCGGAGGACGTAGGCCGTCTTGCCTCCGCACAGGGCCACGACCACGTCGCCTCGCCGGGATTTAAAGGGGCCGAGGCCGAAATATCCATTCTTCGTGATCAGAAACCGCCGGCCGTATGCGGCCGCTTGGTGGGCTTCCATGAACGATATGGCTCGTTGAAGCTCACCCGGGTCGCTCTGTTGGATGTAGGCGTCCAGGTACCGGCCTCGCTCGCGCCCGCCGACGCGCCAGAAACGCAGCCAAGCGTCGTAATAAGACTGTAGAGCACAGCCATCGTGCGCGCCGTCGGGCAGGGCGTTCGCGACGATGGTGCGGATGTAGGCTTCCCGCGTGGCTTCGCCGGTCGGGTAGTGGGTGGCGGTTCCTCCAGACATGCGTTGCCACTGCCGCCAGCGCTTCATCTGGTACGCGTCCGTCACCCAGTTGATGGGACGGGCGCCTCGCACTGAGTTTCCTGGTCGTGGAATCCACTCAAGGAACGTGTCACCGGCACCATCGACGGTCGCCAGCTCGACTCCCCAGACGTGAAGAAGGGAAGAGTCTGGCGACGTGTGAAAAATCACCCTGTTGCCCGCATTCAGTTCGGCCGTGGCAGGGAGAGGCCGTGTCAGTCCGGAAAGCAACCAGTTTGGAGCCCAGGAGGGCGTTTTGTCGAGAGACTCCGCGGGGAGAGTATAGTCGGCCCAGATCTCTGTGTAGTTGAGAATGTCCAAGGATTGGTGTGCCTCCATCATCTTGAGGGCGAATGCTGTGTGTAAGTCATGTGTTGCCATGTTGTAATCCGGGATTATCAGGGTGAATGATGGGGTCAAGCCCAAGAGGCCAAATATCTTGTCTCTCGGATCCGTGGACTTACTTGAGCGGCTCTGCTGCAGAATTTCGAGAATGGATGTCTCAGCACGAGAAGCGAGAGCCTTGAGACGTGCTAGTCGGATGACCTGGGACGGGTCGACATCCACAAGCATGGTGAGCGAGTGGTCTTCCACGAACCTCGCCGCCAGTTCCAACTGGTGCCAGCCACAGGAGGCTGAGCCTGAGAAAACGAGCGCTTCCCTGGCTAAGGTGATTTCCTGGATGATCCAGACGCGGGAGAACCAGGAGCTCCAGAGAAGTTGATCAAGACCCCTCCAGACCGGGTCAGAAGCATCTGGTAGGTCACCCGCTTCAAGATCATCATGTGTGTACGCAACAGTCTGGTGGTCGAGGTTGTCGACGGTCGCCATTGTCGAGAGCTTCGAGATCAGTGCGAAGACTTGATCCGTGTTATCCATTTGCCGGCCAAGCCAGACGACCACACGAGTCGCACGACCATAAGTCTCCCGCATCATTTGGACCTGCATGTTCCTCTCTGCCAAATCCCCTTGGTTTATACATAGGGCATCAATCCAGAGGACCCTCACGCCCTGCGCCTGGCGGAGTTCTGAGAGCGCGTGCCATGCATTGCTGTGGACTGCTAGTGAACAGCCACCGCATGATATTGCTCGTGTGACGGTGAGGTCACCCCACGTATACGAGAGTGCTTCGAAGCCTGACATGCCGTCCTCGACCCGAGTGGTCACCAGATTGCAAGCGATGTGGTCACTCTCACTTCCCGGTTGGAGACAAAGCAGTCGAATGGATTCAGCTGGAAGAGGTTCATATTTATACGATATTTCTGAGCTTAGGGACATTAGATATGCGCACCGTGGCATCCCCTAAAGCCAGCCTTGGGAAGCATACCTGTACTCGGAATGTGGTGATTCGCCATGCTTTGCCCGACTGTGCGGTCTTGCTCGATACGAGGCGTCAAAGTACTGCCGTGTTTAGAGACGCCACAAATGCGATTATGGAGAACTGCGGGACGTACAGGAACTATGGAGATTTTAGGGAAAGACCTAGATCATGGGAGTCAACGAATGCAACAGTAGAAGGTCCTGGAGGCAGCAAAGAAGCGTGGAAATCGAGCGAGATCATGTTTACCTTCGGAGCCGAGTTTGTAGTTCGAGGGAACTGAACGAATCCCTGAACCACTGGAAGCTGGTGGATGATGTCCATGCAGCTTGAAGATTCCAGATCCATTCTGGACCTTCGCTTGGGAGCTCTGTCGCGCTCATGACCAAAAGTAAGATGCATTCCGAGGATCACCAAAATTCCCTGAAGACGCCAGTGGGAAAATTAATCGATTAGACATTCAGACGAGGATAAACGTAGTGCGAGAAAAAAACACTAAGGGAAACTTGGATACCACAACAGGAAAGACTAGAAGCTCCAGATGAGTAACATATGTCAAGTTTACTATGTTTTACGAATGTGGCCTTCAGTTCATGAAGCCTGTCAATGAGAAGGAAATGTTGAATCGACTTGCCAGAGGCTTTTATCAATCCCGTGTCCGACCCCCGTGCATTTATTGACTACTCCTCGCTCTGCAAAGCACCGCGATAGGGCTACCACTTGAATCAAAGAACGTCTTGACATAATTTAGAGATCGCACAGTGGTGCTCTTAGAAGGGGAGCCGGCTAGTTGTGTCAACGCATTCCCTCGAACCAGAAGGTAATGCACCATTGGGGAGACCATCGGTTACTGAAGCGCCACTAATATCAAGAACCACATTTAGAGAAGGCATCAGCGTCGACATGCTAGACCCGGGACGGCAGGCAACCCAGGAGATGTTTAGCAGTTCTACCCCCTCTTTGCTTCTAGTCTTGCAAGTTCTCGTCAACCCCTTTTTGCGAACCACTCGGTGAAGGTAGGGTAGAAGACGTTCGGGCGAGCGGTTCTTGGATCAAGCTGCAGTGTCCGGTTTCAGATCCTGGACGGAACGAAAGACAGGTAGGATAAGATCGTGTGAAGCTGGGCAAATGAATGAAAGGATGTAAAGACGTAAAGGTGAGTGCGACATGAACTGCGACTCCTTACTCGGTAAGTGCTTCTTCAGTCGCGCCGGCGCCAAGCCTTTGACCCTGGCGAAGTTGGCGCGTGTAGGCGCATCGTAGGCGTGTGGGCGCGCCTCTCTATTGCCTCAGTGCCGAGTAACTTTGTCTCTCAGAACATTTGAAAGTTCCGCATTGCGCCAACCTAGAGTCTGGATATATTTCACTCTGCCTTGTGGTCATCTGTGGTTCCTCCTAGTCTTCTCATCCGAATCGTTCTCGACAAACCTTTCTTCTCAAACCATCTCACTCAAACACCACAACCTTTGCTGCGAGAAAGTCCTTTTCACCTTCTCCCCGCTGCACCAAAGTGGCGCAGGCCTCCTACAATGTTTGTGCCTTCCTCCGACAGAGCGAGAACTGATCTAACAAAACTGCCAGGGAGAACTTCGAGAACATTTATCTGGACCTCTCGAAACAGCCCGGTCGATGTCGTCTAGCAGAGAGCGGACTTGGTTGGAAACCCAGTGGAGCCAGTGAACCCTTCACCCTAGACAGCAACCAGATCGGGGCGGCGCAATGGAGTCGAGCAGCAAAAGGCTATGAACTAAAGATCATTACCCGCGATGCCGCCGTCATTCAACTTGACGGATTCGAACAAGACGATTTCGACCGTGTGTCGAAGGCTTTCAAGATCTGGTACGGCATCAACGTGGAGAACAAGGAACATGCGCTGCGAGGCTGGAACTGGGGTAAAGCAGAGTTTGGAAGAGCAGAGCTTGCTTTCAATGTCCAGAATCGACCGGCCTTTGAGATCCCCTACTCGGAAATCTCAAATACCAACTTGGCGGGCAAGAATGAGATTGCCGTCGAGTTCAATCTTGGTCCAGAGGGAACTCAGAACGGCACAAATGGCCACAAGCCTGGGAGCACAAAGAACCGAGGCCAAAAGGCGGCTGCAGGCCGGGATGAACTCGTTGAGATGCGGTTCTATATCCCCGGCACAGTGTCCAAGAAAGAAGTGAACGGAGAGGGCAGTGGCGCCGAGGACGAGGATGAAGAAGAACAAAATGCCGCCAACTTATTTTATGAGACTTTGATGGATAAGGCAGAGATCGGAGACGTCGCAGGCGCCACTTTCGCAACCTTCCAGGACATATTACATCTTACCCCCAGGTATGTTGCGGTCCTATTGCTAATGTGCAGCCCGCAATCAATGTGCTGATCTTGTTTTCTAGAGGACGTTTCGACATCGACATGTACGAGAATTCATTCCGCTTGCGTGGAAAGACATACGACTACAAGATTCAGTATCAATCGATAAAGAAATTCTTCATCCTGCCGAAGAACGATGAAATGCACACGCTCATCACCCTTGGCCTCGACCCTCCCCTCCGACAAGGTCAAACGAGATATCCTTTTATCGTGATGCAATTGAAACTGGACGATGAAGTGAACCTGGATCTGAACATGACAGAGGAGCTCCTGGAAACGAAATACAAGGACAAGCTGGATGCACACTACGAAGCCCCCATTCACCATGTCATTGCCAAGGTCTTCAAGGGACTGTCGGGCAAGAAAATCATTATGCCCTCCAAAGACTTCGTCAGTCACCATAACATGAACGGGGTTAAGTGCTCCATCAAGGCCAATGAAGGTCTACTTTTCTGCCTGGACAAGAGTTTCATGTTCGTGCCGAAGCCCGCCACTTACGTCCCCATCGACACGATACAAAGTATTACCATGTCACGGGTCGGAGGAGCTTTGGCAGCGAGCCGAACCTTCGACATCACCATGACCTTGAAGAACGGACAGGGGGAGCACCAATTCAGTAATATCAACCGTGAGGAACAACAGCCTCTGGAGGCGTTTTTCCAGGTAAGTAACTTTTGGCTTTCGACTGTCGCTTCTCTGGCTAATTACAGGCACGCAGGCAAAGGGTATTCGCTTTAAGAACGAGATGCTCGACGACTCATCGGCCTTATTGAAGGCTGCCCTGGAAGACCAGGACTTAGCCTCGTCAGACGACGACGACGACGCTGGCGTAAATCGTGGTTCTGCAGACGAGGACGATGAGTCACCAGATGAGGACTTCCAAGCTGAATCGGAAAGCGATGTTGCTGAAGAATATGATTCGGCCCATGAGAGTGACGGTAGTGATGCTGGTAGCGATGCGGACATGGCTGATGCTGACGATGATGCTGCTGGCGCTAGTGAGGACGAGGAAGAGGAACGACCGCCAAAGAAGAAGGCGAAGAAATAGCATTATGGTTCTAGCATTGGTCCACCCCTAGGGGACGAGCCCGAGACTAAACATGATGCTTTGTATATCAACACCGAGCAGAAGCGGAACTTGTAATCATAACTTGAAATATGATGCGCCGGTCTCCACTTCCCCCACAGAGACATTTTCACATGAATCTTAACAACCTGCTATCTCTTGGCAAGTTGACTTCACACAATAATGGAAATCACCACCCTGCTATTTCACTTGTCTTGTCTGGTCACAATTCCCGTTGTATCACCTACCACGTGACTGCCTCACGTGCACAACGTGACAACCAACTTTAGCACGAGGCAGTCAGCCAAGATGTTAGCGTATAGGATAAATATATATCCGAAGGCGCTAGCCACTACGGCGGCGGCATCGGCGGCTTTAAGAAGTCGAGGGTGTTTGTCGGGAAACCTGCCAGTGCTTTGCAGACAACAACGCAAAATGGCGAACATGGCGTCGCCAAAACCCGCCAAATCAAAGTCCTCAGGGACTGTGAGGAGTCGTACAGGGTGCCAGACTTGCCGCACACGCAAGCTGAAGTGCGACGAGGTAAAAGCGCGCCGTGTTCTTTGTTTTTGATGAAAACTGACTGACTGAAATTCAAGGCGAAGCCGATCTGCGGACAATGTCAAAAGTCGCGCCGCGACTGTGTGCGCTCTGACCGTGAGTCGTCCTGTCCACCGCAATGATGAAAAGACATTCAAAGGAGCTGACACTTAAGACACAGCAATCACCTTCCGCCATCACCAGAACTCGAGTTTTGGCAAGGATGGCCAAGAACACTCCCTCGACAGTTTCTTCAAGTACAGCCAAACCTACAGCGAAGAAGATCTGAAGGCGTTTCTACCGGTGCCACAACAGCGTGCGTATTTCGAACATCCAGCATCCTTGACAACATGACTGACTGACTCTTCAGTGACTTGGATTCATGTCTCCGACCCAACTGCAGAAGATGCGAATGCAGTCACTCCTCCTCGCACGCCTACCACCTCTGACATGGTTCAGCAAGTCGCAGCTCACACTTTAGAGGCTCTGTCGACTGCAGCAGCTGACCAGACCTCATATCCTCCCCAGGGCACTGCCTACTATACGACAGCCAACCCTGCAACAGATTCTCACCCTGAGTATGGATTCGTGCAAGCCGAGCCTGCCAGCTCTACTAGTGGTGGCCTGTCCAGAAACATTCACTATTACCTCAGCAACTCGTCTCCTCAAGCTCAGACTGACGCTTCCCTGATCGACCCAAACCTCGAGTCCACTGTGACTGCGACCTCTCATGAAGGCGAGCAAATGGACGAGGCGCGTGATCTCAAAGCAGAAAGCGAGGACGAGGAACGCAAAGAACAGGAAGACAGCCTGACTGATGCAGACACCAGGGTCGCTATGGCGCTCAGAACTTTTAACGAACTCCAAACATAGGACTCAAGATACTGCTGGGGCCCACGGTAGAATGCCGTTCTTGGACGTGTCATGATAGAATCATGGTCAAGTCAACACGAAGATATTGAGTGATGACTTTCATTCTTGGAGCAACGGACGGCAGGCGCTGAGGAGCATTATGGGGGTTTGCACGAGCGAAAATACCGTCAAGTGAACGACACACGGGGAACAATCCACCGAAATGGGGACTGACCTAGAAGGGACGTGTCGACACATTCGGAGGCGGTTTATGACTGTAATACTAGCTTAACACAGATGGAGAGGTTCAGGCCGTGCTGTCGGCAAGGCGAATTTCAATGTTTCTGCATCTACGATTTTTCTAATAACGTTTGGTCCATTCTATACCGTTGATGCGACTCATGTGAGGGCAGACGGCGGATACAGTCCACAAACCAGACAAAAGCTCCACCCCGTAGGAAGGCCTTGGACGCGGAGTCTAGCTCGCTCCTGCATGCAGGAGACACAGGAGGTCATGCATGTCTCGCCGGTTGGTGCCGAGACACATACTCCGTACTTGTACGTTTTTACCCTGCCCAGCTCTTGGGTGCATCCAGTCACGACTCCACGGTCAAGGGGCCGAATGCAGTGACTAGGTGTGACCTCTTATAATGGTGCTTTCAGTACATAGTGGTTTCAATAACTTACAGGAAGAACGGAGGTGGGATCGGACGGAGCGCTTTTTGTGTTGTCAATCTACCGGACCGCATGCGTCAATGAGGTCGATCGGCAAGAAATTTGAGCAGATTCTGGGGCTGCTTGGCCCGGAAGGCCACGCAAGCCACTTTGCTAGGACCTTGACAAGGCGTGGCTAAGACGGTGGTAGCGTCGGTTACAGACAAGGGAAAGCGAGGAGGGGAGCTCGGTGGGATCTGGTAGCTAAGGCACTCGGCTCAATCTCCTTGGTGCATTTCATGGTGTACCACATAGTTCGGCGATGAGTGGATGGGAGGCTTTGGATCTCCAAATTGGCCTGGTGCAGCTCGATTGCAAGGAGTTAAGTTCGGTCGAGACGTCATCAACGGCCGACGATGGCTCATCCAAACGAAACCTGGAAGTCTTGGAACAACAGTGACGCTTTGTGGCTTTCGAGCAGATCTGAACGGCTGCGGTTTTACCTGATTCTGTTCTAGTTTGGGAGGAGTGGCCGGCGTATCGTGGTGAGAAATCGTCTAGCGAGCGTGTTTGGATGGTGGCTTCGGGTGTCCACTTAATTGTGTTGTTTTCGAGTACTCGGTACGTAGTGGTTAACCTGTGTCCCAAAAAACAAAGCAGAAATGTTAGCTGAACCACTACAACACGGACAGCGGCGAGGCGGATACCACCCACACCACATTGCCTGCGCCCTAACACCACCAGATCACCAAACCTCCCAGTAGTACTTCTCTATTGTTGTTTCCACTTTCTTTTTTAAACCTCCCTCATTTTGTTCATTGACCGCTCTCTGAAAGCTGCTGCATTTCCATTCTCTCGTTTCGTGTACCTCGTACACCCACTGCACTGCCCCCAACCCGGCCTTCCGTTACCCGCCGAACGTGTTCCTCTCAGACGATATCCTGATCATGGCCAGCTGAAAGATATCTTTGGTTTTTCTCCGACGAGGCAAAAGCAGATGCGTGCTGGTGAGGACAACAGCTACTTGTCGTAAAAAACCGCACGTCGCACAGTCCTCTTTGATCCTTCTTTCTGGTGCGGCGAGTGAGTCTGGGCCTGAACGGCAGGTGCAAGTTCCATACGGCTAAACCCCCGACGAGGTTGTCAACATGGGCCGCCTTCGCAACCTTTCCGAGAGCTTCAAGGCTGCGGCATTCAGCAATTCGACCCTCTCCATCTCTTCGCTCTCCAAGGCCTCCTCCGGCCAGACCCAAATCGTCGATAAGGACTCACCGTCATCGGCTCGTTACCAGGAATTTCCGACGCCCTCCGAAACCCCTCGAACAACCCCCCGGACGGAGCGGGCTGCATCCCGCCCTGTATCCATGGTGTACACACCTCCGTCGATGGAGTTGGAAAGAGAAAATCATATCGAGGAGTTGAGACCGGTGTTCAGGTGCGCCTGGTGGCCTAGTTATATGAATGTCTAGTGCTGACGACCCCACTAGCTTCCTCTCAAGTCACAGCAACAAGCTCTATCAAGAAGGTGTTTATTGATTACTTCCTCGATCTACATGTCCTGATGCTGATCATCCCATGCAGGGTATTTTCTCAAACTGAATGATCTTGACACTCGTAAGTGCTTTCCGAACCCTCTGGATTTTGATCCATCGAGTAACCTTTTGAAAGATGGAAGACCTAATCCGGATCGCAACTGGACCGAATGCTTCGCTCAACTGGTCGGCACGGTACTTTCGCTTTGGGACGCCGCTGCTTTGGACGCGGCCGGCCAGGATGGAGAAGTGGCTCCTACATTTATCAACCTGGCGGATGCCTCCATCAAGATGGTACGATCTTTCAGACTCTTGTGGGCGGGCTGATTCTGAGTTACTGGCAGATCGAGACGCTCCCTACGCGAAATCCCGATGTCCAACCTTTACAGAATGTACTCTCCATATCTACGGCGGGCAAGAATCGGTATTTGCTACATTTTAACTCTCTCCACTCTCTCACGCAGTGGACGGCTGGCATCAGACTCGCAATGTTTGAACATGCCTCACTCCAGGAACTGTACACTGGCTCTTTGATTGCCGGCAAAGGGAAGTCTTTAAACAATATCCGGACGATCATGGAGCGTACCAAATTCAAGACGGAAGACTGGGCGCGAGTTCGATTTGGCGCTGGCACTCCATGGAGGCGATGCTGGTGTGTGATAGAGCCTCCTGACGAGAAAGAATGGCAAAAGTCCAACAAGTCCCTGAAGAAGAAATCAGCGTACGACCGACCCGCCATGCCGAAGGGAGTCATCAAGTTCTATGACACCAAGAAGACAAAAAAGGCCATGCCTATAGCGACCATTACCGACGCATATTCAGCGTACGCTATCTACCCCCAGTCTAAGCCGTTGATCGACCAGTCTACCTTGGTCAAAGTTGAAGGCCGCATCACAATACATTCTACACCAGAATCCAAGACTGAAGGCTTTGTCTTCGTGATGCCCGAGGTACATCCTGCAGTGTCAGGTTTTGAAATGATGCTTCGGTGGCTTTTCCCTGTTTATGACATTTTCCACCTTTACGGCCGTCCCCAACGGCTAATAGCCGACACATGGGACACTCGAGGCCTCATGTTTGCGATGCCGCGGGAGCGGAGATACGGCTATCTGGACATTATTGACGTTGCCGCGCTTGTCCATTCTCAGGGAAGCGAAAAATGGAGCGAACGTGAATGGCGGAGACAGTTGAAAGAGGCAACTTCTAAGCGAATGTCTATGACCGCACAGGGACGTTCGAGTGGCACTTTCGAGAATAGGCGCCCGAACCGAGTATTTTCGGAATCCAGGCAAGGCGTGCATTACGACGATGCTGATTCAGTACGTTCGTCGCCTTTTTCGCGACATCAGCACAATCAATCAACCGATGCAGTGTTTGCTTCTCCAAAGAAAGTTGTCACTGCTCCAGCAAACACGGCCTATCTCTCTCCAGGACAAAACCACCATTCAAGGTCTGTATCAGAATCCGTGGCGTACATGTCACCGACCCAGAATCGTCGCCAGCACGACCATTATCATCCTTCCAGGTTGTCCACTGAATACACCGATATGGAGCCTATTCAGCCTCCCCCGGCTCCTCCTGCTCATCGAAATCCATTCAAGAATAACATTATTCATAGCGAAGCAGAAACATCAGACAGCCGCTACAGCTCGGATAGCGACGGACAAGGTCCACGGACTCAACCGGAAGATATTCAACGAGATGTAGGCGAAACAGCACCACCTGCGCCGGTGGTGGCTCCTCCAAATATGCAGCATCAACACAGTGACGTCCCGCAGAGGCGACCCGATGCTCGACCGGACTTGAGACGTGAGAAAAGTCGAATGTCGAATGGAACCTTGTCTCAGATTGTTGATGTGAATAAACTCGCGAACAGTGGGGCGGCGGGGCATGCAGCGTTGGTGGCGTGGAATAATGGCCGAGAAGGCGAGAATCAGGGGCTTCGAGGGGTAAATGAGACCCCTCGCGACGAAGAAATATCTGCTAATCAACCTGTTTCTCAAGAAGTGGTAGCAGAAGGTGCTTATACGCAAAACCCTGCTGATGTCAGACCAGAACATCCCCGGATGCCCTCTGTACAGTCAACGGCCACCAAACCGATCCATCGAAAGCCTGTCCCGACAACCACATCAACCCTGTTAACACCATCCAACCGTCTGCAATCGCCCGACAGGATGTCCAGACACTCAGCCTCCAGTTATGACAGCACCCCGAGTAGTTCACCGGACTATGACAGTCTTCCCGAGGACGATGATCGTCCTGTATTTCACAGAAAAACCAGGACAGGCGTCTTGAAGACAGTCGGAGATCCTCAACTGTCCAGTGGCGGCCAACAAGACTCGGCCAAAATCGACATACCGGTCGTTGACTTTGGCATGACGTTTACCCCTAGCTTGACCCCGGGACACAGTCGTCCTCCGACGGCTTCTGGAATCACCGGACGGCAGTCGCCGTTTGATCAGCCATTGACCGCTCCCGCAACGCCTTTGACCAGATCTCCTCAAGAAGAGCGAGCCTCTCCGGGAAATCTTAGCCCTGGCGACGGGCAGAGGTCACCGTTGGTTGAGAGAAACAGCCCCAAGGGCGCTCACTCGCGCTCATCTAGCTATGCTTGGCATCCCGGAACGACCCTGGAGAGGCACAATTCAGTAGGAGGCTTGACAGCTGAGGAGTTCGTCCAGCAACGCGCCGTCGCTGCTAGGGTTCCACAAGGATATGTCCCTCACCGGAGTGTTTCCTACAGTAAGGTCGAGCAGTCTCCAAACAAATTGCAGAAAAAACGAGATTCAATGCTTCGACCCAGCTCGAGGCATTCGTTATTGATCGATCCATCATCACATTTATCAGCCCGAGAACAGGAGCATGTTGCCAAAATGACTGGTGGCCCGTTGATTCAGGTGGTTGACCGGAGTAAGACGCCAGACCCATCTGTCGGGCTGATAGGGGCGATCGAAGCACGAGAGCAAGAAAAGAGAAACATAAAGGACGGGGTTGCCGGTCATATGGTTCAAGAGGCCATCGCGCAAAGGCAGGCGGCAGAGCGCACCTACGGAATGCAGTCGCATGCCAGCTACAACTCGCCTGTTGACGTCAGACAAAGTGGGCAATGGGCCGGCTCTCAAGGACCTCTGTACTGGGGTGGTACCGTGCCGCAACAGCCGCAACACGCCTGGTCGAACCAGTCGGCGTGGCAGTATCAGCAACAGGCTCAGGCTCAGGCACAGCAGATACAACAGATGCAGCACCAGCAGCCTTATCAGATGTATAATGCGAGATCTAGTGGGCATTATGTGTTACCTGGTGGTTATGGCTCCCGGTCATAACCACCCGGTAGAGGATCAGTACGGATATTCCTGGGTTGAATTTGCATGGCAAGCGAGTGATTTTGGCATCGGTGGGCGCTGGGAGATACCTTGATACACCTTACGCAGGCGTTTATCCAGGGCTAGTATAGAATGATAAGAATGTCACAAGATTATCGCAGCTCCTTCCTCATGGGGCCAAGGACAAGCTAGAAGCAGTACTCGGTCTGGAGAACAATGATAATGACACCTTGCATCGGCTACAACCAAGGACAATCCCACGGGTTCCGCCCCGGATTTGGGCAAGCGAGAGGGATCAAGCGAGGAAACGGAGTCGTGCTGGAGGAATGTGCATATGCATGATCCCATACCTACCTCGTACTTGTAGGGTCCTCAGTCAAATTCTAGGGGGCTGGGGAGCTTGAGAGGCTCGAGAAATTCACCTGAGAGATGAAGCACGTGGCAGGAGTTCCAGGTACAGTAGTACGAGCACTACGAAGTAGTTTCGCCTCGATTGAGGAAAGCGAGGGGGAGGGACGCCTAGCCCCGTGGCTTCTAAGGCACAGTTATTGGCTCAAGGCCTGGAACAGGCCTAAAGGGGAGAGGGGATTATAAGGGGTCCCTTGTTAGCACACATCCCTGGGCACCCTGGGCAGCCTGGGCAGCTACGCACCTGCTGCCCGCACCGGAAATGTAGTCGTGAACCTCCAACTCCGCCGTCCACGTACGTCCTGCAACAATTCCAAGAAACATCACCGCCATAGTGCACTTCGATGCCAACTTTATCTCACATCTACTATTCCCCCCGATTAACACCACAGCGGATTGCCTTCACCCTCTTTCCACTCGCTTCCTCCTTTGTCTCTTGCAATCTGGTGTCCCAGATACTGCCTGCATTGCACACACCATCTCACAGTCACAGCGGGCCTGCTGACTGAGGATTCGGGGCCTCCCATCTAAAAGCAGAGCAATTATTATTTCTGAACTGAGTCTCTCCTGGTCCACGTACGCAGTTGTCCGTTGTCCGATCACCCCCTCTCGACTTTCCGTTTGTACTGCACGATACACATCGCTGCAGCTATTTTGTTCGCCATGGTCTGAACCACGGTTTTGTCCATATCTTACGCCATGCCGTTGCGAACCCTACTACCATCGAAGCCTACATCGGGTCCTAGTCACCGCAGACATGGCAGTATCGTCGAAGATCCCCCCTCTACGTCGGCTAGCAGCAACGTGCCATCTACTCGAACCCACAGCCGCGGTAGCTCTCTGAAGAGACTGAGTCTGAGTCTGTCGCGGACCAACGACGAACCTTTCCCTCCATTTTTGACGCAGGATCTGGAGGGACTTCCCGGCCACCAACCCCCCGTCCAGCCTCATGTACCTTCCTACCAAACTGATCCGCTGAAAAGTGCCAGCACCCCGGCGACCAGATCACCGACGCAGATTGAAGGAGATGGAAGAAACGGGATGCAAAATGACCTTGGCTTTGGTCTCAAGTCTATGCCTCAACGACTGTCACTCTTGGGATTGAGGCATGCGTCGGATCCACAACTGTCCAGCAGATTCAAGAAGGAGGAGATCAGTCCTTCCAACGACGTCCCACGTATGTATTTTTTTTTTCTCTTGGTCTTTTAAGCAGACTGCTAATTCTGTATCGAGCAGCACCCACAATCATCACAACTGCGCCGACGACCAACGACTTCGACGAGCCTGCCCAGAAGCCATCGAAAAGGAAATTGTTTGCCAGAGCGCCAAGTCCTTTCCGCAAGAGTCACAGCTTTAGACGGACTATTTTAGACCCTTTGAAAGGTACTGGTAACGAAGACGGCCAGGATGAAAAAGCGAGCTTGGCGAAACCTGGGATGCTCAAAGAAACCACCTCGTTTGAGCGCCTTCCGCGACCAAAGACAGGACATTCTGGCGCGGAGCCGCCTGCGTACGGTGACGAATCTTCGTCCTCGCTGGCCATCCCCATTACGCGACTCTCGGAGTCGTCTCGATCGGATGATAGTTCTGGGGACCACCACGTCTACGCAAAGACTACCACCACACACACCATCTCTACCACCACCACCTTCTTCAAGTTGAAGAGGCGCAAGAAGAATAAAGGTCTGCTTTTCCCACTACCTGAAAAGTTTGCAACACCTGCCTCAGGGCGGACCACGGCCTCGCATACCCCTCAAGAGTCTCTGATGGGAAGGAAATCTATGTCGCCGAGCAGGAGATCAAACACGGCGGTGAGATTTGACACTGAGCCGAGCCGGCATGGCTCTGCAGTTCCTTCACCCACTCATTCCGCCACGGCACTTACAAATGCTCCATTTGGGTCGCCGGGGGCCACCATTGTGCGGCAAGACTCCAATTGGTCCACCCACTCTGGTCAATCGACGCCATCAGTGACACTGATTCCCCCGCGACTATCGGGAAGAGGAAGATCTTCGACCTTGAGCTCGCTAGGGAAATCAACTGAGAGGTTATCTGAATCAGGTCCCCAGCCAGCATCAACGCGAACATCGACGTCGACAAGTGGACGAAGAAGCTTTGGCGATCTGCTGTCCCTTCCTCACAGACTACGGCAGAATTCCGCGCCACCTACGCGCGGTGCTGGCTCAACTCCCGGGACGCCTGGCTCAAAATCCAACTCTTTACACATCCCTCGAGAGCCGGAACCGGAGCGGGTGTATCCCAAACGAGAGGATGGCGATACCCCGGCTAGTTACCTGGAAAAGCTCGAGGCCGCAGTTCCCCGGAGCGCAATGGCGTCCATTCTCTGCAAGAGCGCAGATGACTTTTCCAAAACATGCTTGCGCAAGTACATGCGCGGCTTTTCCTATTTTGGCGATTCCATTGACATGGCGATCCGGAAGATGTTGATGGAAGTAGAGTTGCCCAAAGAAACGCAGCAGATCGATAGACTGCTCGCCGGGTTCGCGGACAGGTACTATGAATGTAACCCGGGAATCTTCTCCTCGACGGACGAAGCGGCCTTTGTCGCGTTCTCGATCCTTCTCCTACACTCCGACACGCACAACAAGAATAACAAGAGGAAGATGCAGAAACAAGACTATGTCAAGAACACCCAACAGGGTCCGGTGCAGATTTCCAGTGATATTCTCGACTGCTTCTACGACAATGTGTGCTACACGCCCTTCATTCACTTTGAAGACGAGGTGGCCGTCAACAGTCACCGTCTATCAGCACCCAAACCAAAGAGAAGCCTCATCAAGACTAGAAGCCTTGAAAGCCTCCGCGGTCCTGTCGACCCCTACACTCTGATCTTGGATAATAAGTTGGACGTGTTGCGGCCGTCTCTGAAAGATGTCATGGATACTGAGGACTGCTATTGTTCCACAGGCACATCCGGTGTGCTCGAGACCGAACACCATCATAAGGCTTTTGTGAACTCAGCGGTGTTGCAGATTGTGTCTGCAAGGTCAAGGCCGGATGCTTTCTTGTCCCAAGCCACCATTAGCAACCCCGGTGAAGCGCAAGCTGGCCTGGTCAGTATCAAGGTTGCCAAAGTGGGGCTGCTGTGGCGCAAGGATCCAAAGAAGAAGAAAGCAAAGCGCCCGTGGCAAGAATGGGGTGCGATCCTGACTGACTCAAAGCTCTATTTCTTCAAAGATGTCGGGTGGGTCAAGAAGCTGATTGCGCAGCACGATGCCCATTCCAAGTCGACCAATAGATCTGCTCCTCTTGTCTTCAAACCGCCGCTTACTTCTTTCGAACCCGATGCGCTGATGTCTATGGACGATGCCGTGGCATTACTGGATTCGAGCTACAAGAAACACAAGAATGCCTTTGTTTTCATCAAGCACGGAGGTTTCGAGGAGATTTTCCTAGCTAACAGCGAGGTCGAGATGAACGACTGGATCGGCAAGCTCAACTACGCGGCTACTTTCCGCACCGCCGGTGTGAGGATGCGCGGGCTTCTGGGATCCAACTACGAAGGCCGTCATCTGCTGCGAAAGGACTCAGATTTCTCCTCCAAAAGTGGGGACACACCCCAGAAAGACAAGAAGGTCGACCCCCAGATGGCGTGGGAGATTATGTTCTACCGCCGGCAACTGATTAACGAGAAAATCAGCGATTTTGACGAGAGGATCGCGGTGGCTCAAAAGGAACTCGACCATCTCCTTCGCAACGCGCGGCATCTGCTCATCTTGCTCCCCATCCAACAGAAGACTCGTGAATTTCTCGTGCTGGCTGCCGGCCGTATGTCGGCCAAATTGAAATGGACCAGAGTGGAGCTTTGGAGGACGAGGACTCACCGAGACATTCTTTTCAAAGACCTCGAAGAGGAGGGTGCCACCGCATTTCCTGCTCCCAAGGCGTCATTGACTTCGACGCCTCAGAAAACCACTCCTCTGAGGACGGGTCAAGGAGATCTGGGGCGAACCATCACCGACACAAGCCACATCACCTTGTCACCGGCCAGTGCTACTTCGTCGAGGCTGTCCAACATTGTCGACAAGCTCAAGACATCGGAAAACTTCAGCATCAGCACGGCCGACCTTCCATCGGCTATAAGCCCGTCTGTGTCCGGAGAGGCGTCTCTATCGAGGCACGAAAGCATCCAGGACTCGCACAGTCTTTCACACCAAGTTTCTACCACCAGTTCCCATCACAGCCGAGATAGAGACCGACTTGCACGCGGAGCGGATGACTCCGAGGAACGTGTCTTGCGCGAAGCCGGACTGACGCACGTGGACGGTAACGTCGCCCGGGATAGGAGGCCTGACACCAGTGAATCAGAACGGGATCGGGTTGGAACAATGGCGGGCGCGGCTGAGCCGTCAAAGGCTGGAAGCGTTCGCCGGAGCCTTCAGCGCAGCTTGCGTGAGCCACACCTCCACCACCATCACCACCTTCACCAGTCTCCTAGTGTTCATCGCCATAAGAAGAGTAAAGAATCGGGCTCTAGTTTGGCTACGACAGATGATGGAGGCAAACTTACGCACGGTGAAGCCGAGGAATTAAAACGGGGCACGGGGAGTTTCATTCTCCACGGCAAGAAG